AAATCCCCGCCAGCGTCACCAATGGCTCTGGCGTCGACCTGACGATGGAGTTCATGTACGCGGCGCCTTACAGCAACCTCTACACAAATCTGAGAATGGGTAACGCCTCGGAGCCGTTTGGCTGGGTGGTGCGAGGACAGGTGCGCAGACGTCCGCGAGGGGGGTGGTAGGGGAAGGCTCTGCTGGCCGCCACACTCTGGCACAGGTCACGGTGTTTCATTGCCACTGGTGAAAAGACTGGTCAGTTCAAGCCTCGGGGTCCATCATAAGCGCCATGCGCTTGCGCCAGCAGCTGCAAGGCAGCTTCCCCGCACCTCGCGGATCCGCACGCGCCTCAATTATTCAGTCGTGTTGCACCCCTTCATGCCGCCATGCGCAGGACGCGAGTGGGTACAACACTTTCTGGAACCTGCGCAGCGATACGGGGAAGATTGCGCTGCCGCCCTACACGTGGGCGCCGCGCGTCACCTGGGTGGACGTGAACGGCGCAGCCGTGGTGAGGGCAGGGCGGGGGGCGCAGGGTGGCAGCTTGTGGATGCAAGGCAAGGTTGGCCTTGGCACCGACGGCCAGGGCGCATGCACACCACTGTGGCAGGGATTAGCGCCCCCTTCCCTGACCACTTATCGAGTTAACGGCCACAAATTTATGTTGGGGGTTGGAGGGGAGGGGGGGAGGGTGATCATGCCCGCGAGAGGCGCGCGCCAGCGCTGCCAGCCCAGAGCTGCACTCTGACCGCTGATTGCCCCCTCTTGATCGCGCGCAGTCAACGGTCGGCCCCGCAACTGGGTGGGACATCGAGACCTCTGGCCCCGTGTGGCCCGAGAATCTGTGGCTCGCGCAGCGCACGTGAGCCGCCGATCGGCATGGGCGGGGCGTTCTCGACTTGCCGCCCGGGTGGGGTCCAGACCAGGCACAGGCGCGCATGCCTATGCGCAAACGCAAGCTTGGGCGGATCTTGCCAATTGATGGGCCTCACGCATCATCAAACCCGCCCTGTCTGCAGTGCCCGCAAGCGGCCGCTCACCCCGGTGCCCCCGACGCGGCACTACGGCCCCGGCTACGGCTGCTTCTCCAACGGCACCAAGTGCTGCACGAAGCCGACGACCGGCTGCCCCAACTGCCCCTCGAACCCGATGATCCCATCTGAGCTCTTTGGCTGCCAGGTGGGGTGGGCTGTGGGTTGCGTTGGGCTGTGGGGTGGGGAGGTTAGGGCAGGAGGCCTCGCTGGTTTTGGCTCTGAGCTGGTCCAAAGGGGTGCAGCTGGATGAGGTCCAGCACAGGAGCGCTGCAAGGATGGTTGGGACTTGGTTATGCGCCGCCAAGGCAGCATCATCACGATGCGGGTCGGTACGGCCCATCACCCAACCCAGGTTTGTTGGAGCACACCAGAAAGAAATCCAGCTTCCCACCTGCACACACACACACACACACACACACACACACACACACACACTCACACACACACACACACACGCGCGCGCGCGCGCGCACACACACTCCCCCAAGGGCGAGCTCTGGAAAGCAACTGGCCGCATCGGCTACGAGTGGTCGTGGGCCGGATACCAGCAGGGCAGCGCCTCCATCCCCTGGGTGCCCCAGGTCGCCAACCTCAAGACCCAGTTTGGTGCCAAGGGGGACGGCGTCACGGACGACACCGCGGCGATGCTCAAGGCGCTCGACGCGGTGCAGAGCGGCGTCATCTTCCTGCCCGCGGGTGCGGCCGTTACCGCCGGGTGCCGGCCGCCACGAGGGGTCGCATTGGTTCAGGGAAGGGGCTGCCGCTCCTTGTGTACAGGTTGCCATTGGCGGCCTGCCGGCTCGAGGACGCGGCGAGGCTGTTTTGGGTGTTGTCTTTCGGGTTGTACCCAGCTGGCGGCATGCACGGCGCGCGGCGGCGCCTCCATTCCCCCACGCAGCCCCGGCGCACTTTGGCCGCCTCTGTGGGCCCTCGGTGGTTTCGTTGTGGCCGCCACCTGCAGGCCGCCTAGCGCACGGCGCATCCCTTGCCTCAACCCCTCCCTTTCCTCCCCAGGCACTTACATTATGACGGCAATCCTCAACTGGCGCAAGCCCATCGTGCTGAGGGGGGAGGGCCGCGACCTCACCAAGATCAAGTTCCCCAAGAGCATGACAGAGCTGTGAGAAATTTGCCGCAAAGCTCCGTGCCGCACGGCGCGTGAAGATGCTTTGCAGTCGTCATGGGGGCCGCGCTGCGCGACAGCTGCTGGGCAGGCAGCGCACCACGAAAGAGCGCGAGCCGAGCGGCAGGGCGTGGAAGGCGACGTTGGTGCCCGAAACCCAATTCTGGGTGCCTCACGCAAAGCCTGCCGCGCGCCCCGCCCTCCTCTCAACCCTCGCGTGCCCCGCAGCTACGGTAACACCTGGGTGGAGGGCAAGTGGGTCGGGACCTCCCAGTACAGCCACGGTGCGCGGCGGGGCCACTGGAGCGCCACGCTTCGACGCCGGCCGCGCCGCTTGGCTGCGTTCCCCACGCCCCTGCACCCGCCCCGATGTGCCACGCTGTCGGGACCCCCCGCCCGTGGCCTCCCCGCTACCCTGGTCCCCTAGCACGGCGGCGCGGCCCCCTGCACGACCCGCGGCTCCGCGCCCGCGCCACCTTGCGGCCGCCTCGCGGCCGACGCGCGGCCGACCCGTGCAGGCGCCCACTGCGGCTCTTCTTTTCCCCCAAAAAACCAACAAAAACGTGCAGGCACTGGGTTCATGAACATCGGCGGCTGGGACCCCACCGGCCGCGACTTTTCGAAGCTCTCGTGGGTCAGCGCGCCGGCCGCCCAGGGCGACCGCATCCTGAAGATCGGCTGCTGCGCGTCGTCGCTGGCCGTCGGCCAGATGGTGCGGCTGTGGATGCGCGACCCCGGGGACGGCAGCCTCATGAGCGAGCTGCACGGCGGCCTGGCGGACATTGCGCCGGAATTCAAGGGTGCGGCGCTAGTAACGCCTCTTACTGCCTGGACACCCGCGCGCGGCCGCTCACGCGGGGCCGCCGTCTAGGCGGCAGGGCGCATCGCGGTGCCTGCGGCGCCTCACGGTCGGTTCGGGGCTGATCTTTGCCCGCCGAGCAGCGGCCGGCGCGCCCCGCATTTCCATGCGTGACGGTAACCCCCTCAGGCCCGCGTCCCGCGGGCGCGCCCCCACCAACGTCCGCCCGCGTTTGGCAAACGTTGAGGCGCACCGCCGTTTCCCCCCCTCCTCCCGCAGGCTACGCGGACCCTGTGCGGTTCCTAGCACGCATCGCTGCCATGGGGCCCGACTGGATCAAGCTGGACCGCACACTGCCAGTCAGGGTAAGCTTTGCGATGGGGTGCTGTTCTGTTGTTATTGCCCAGCCCGGCACCAACGCGCCACCCCGAAGCGCGCCAGGATATCTGGTCATGCTGTGGGGTCGTCCTTGCCTTACTTCTGAGGGGCCGCGGTGTCGAAAGAGGCCTGGATTCGACGGAGAGCGCTTCGCTGCACGCCTTGGTCGGTTCGTGTGTTGGCGCTCGCCTCGTTGCCGCCGGCCCCACCATCCAATAATCGACGACCAGAAAAGATCTGTGCGAGACACCTTGAATGGAACCTGTATTGAGAGGCGGGTTTGGAAACAGCCGAGGCGTGCGATGCGCGGGGTCGTGGCGACGCGGGGGGCGCGGCCGCCGGGCGCCGCTGCGGTGCGCGGGGGCCGTGGCCGCCTGCCCGCCAGGCGTCTGGTCGATCTGACGACGAATTCGTTACTCACCTCCCTCGCTCGCCTGCAGGTGGACTTGGCCTGGTTCCCCGAGATCCACAGGTGAGCGGCCGGCCCCCCATGCATGTATATGGCCAGAGGCTGCTGACACAAACAGCATGAGAAGCCGTGCCATGCCGTGTGAAGCGTGGCGTGCACTGCCCCTTGTTCACCTGCTTGTTGGCTGCCCGCGGCGCGCGGGACGCAGCTGCCATGTCAGCCGCGCACCCCCGGCCACTGGCCCCGGCCTTGAATGAGACATGCCTGCTGCGCGGGCCGACCACCCCCTCCCCGCCAACCTGCGGTTCCCAGCAACGCTGCGTTGAAAGCACCCCCGCGTCCCTCCCCCACTGCCGCAGGTTCATGCCCATGATTGACGGCAGCGCCGGCTTTGAGTACCTCACTGTCTCGTTCCCCTGGACCACCTACCCCGGGCACTTCAAAGTGAGCGCGCCCCCATGCCGCACACGGGGCCCGTGGCGCGGCGCGCCCCTGGTCCATCCCTCCTCGCCCGCGCCCCTCCCTCGAGGCGCCGAGGGCCCTGCTGTTTCTCAGGGCGGGAATTTGCTGGGGAGGGACCCACCCCCTGTCATCCAGCCCCCCGCCGCCCAAACCACACCCATCCGCTGACCGCCCCGTCTGTCGGGCGTGCAGCCGGGGCTG